TCCGGTAATGGTCCCATTGGTGGGTATGGGAATGGAAGATTATTGATTTTTTGGCAAGCAATGCATTTCCTTATTGTTGCCTGCACTTGTTGTCGGAGTTTGGGGATCCAAAACTTCTGTCGAATGGTAGCTATCGTATGAGAAGTTCCGCGATGAAGTGGTAAATGGGCTTCTTTTATGATGCAAGCTGCCAGAGGTGCTTTTGCCATGATGAAAAGTGATCTCTTTGTGAGTTCTGAAATTTGTGCATTATCCAGTCGACCGTAACAGCAAAGAAGCCCTTGTTTGTCCGGTTGAATGTTGAGGCTCTTCATCGATTTTCGGAGCTGTTCGGTGACATGGATCGCTTGATGGTTTCGCACGATGACATGGAGTGCTTCGTCTCGTTTTCTTGCCGTGACATATTGATATTCCTTCCTTGGTTCCAATGCTGGAATATTTTTCCGGAGCCGAGACGACAACTCGTGTGACACTCTTTCATTTAGACGTCTCAAGAAGCGAAGTGCCAGAGCCACAGTTTGTTGTGCAGTAGACAAGGGGTTGTGTCTGCTCCAGTCAATCAATTAATTGTCCTCGTCCCTTGATTCTACTCCTACTAGGCAGATTTTTATTTCCTCGACTTCTCCCTCAATGTCTTGTGGCAGACTGAACTGCTGTTGTCGCTTAGGCCAGCTACTTTCGGGTGACTTGAGAAAGTCGGGACCTGTCCACCAGAAATGATTCGTCAATTCCGTGCTGGACAGTCCTCTGGTGGCGCAGTCAGCTGGATTCTCTTCCGTATTCACATGACCAAACCGCATTGGTTTCTGTATGTCTGCCACAATCTTGCGAATTTCCAGTATCCGGTTTCTAACGAGAACGCCAGCATCCTTGTTGACAGGAAGTTTCGCGAGCCAGCCCAAGGCTATTTCCGAATTGGTCAAGATTATGATGGAGTCAATAGAAACGACTTCTTTCAAAGCTTCGTTTGCATGTGTGCCATTCTTGCTGCCATGGTGACTGCATTCATTTCCATCTTCGGAATCGTCCAAGATGTGTCTTTGAGTCCACTACTATGTATGCGCCAGAAGCCATAGCCTGGCTACTCGCATTCGCGAAGATGGCTAGCTTTATGGTCGAAGCTATGGGTGCTGTTTTTCTCATCGTAACG